GCCATGGCTGAGCAAGGGTGACATTGCTACCAAGGAGATGAACGGCTGGCCGGATAATGTCTATGGTCCATCAGCCATTGCATTCAATGACAAGCACTGCACCCCCAAGGAGATGACCAAACAGGATATCGAAACATTCAAGCAGGCTTTCGTTGACGCTGTCAAGCGCGCGGTCAAGATTGGCTTCGATACCATTGAGATTCACAATGCGCACGGTTACCTGCTGCACTCTTTCCTTTCTCCCGCATCCAACCAACGCACCGACGAATACGGAGGCTCATTCGAGAACCGCACCCGCCTAACCCTTGAGCTGGTAGACCTCACTCGCAAGACCATCCCAGAGAGCATGCCGCTTGTCCTCCGCATTAGCGCGACCGACTGGCTTGACGAAGCTGGTATCGAAGGCTGGACTGTTGACCAGACCGTCCGTCTTGCCGAGATACTAGCCGACAAAGGTGTTGACCTACTCGACGTCTCATCTGGTGGGCTCCACGAGAAGCAGCACATCCATGGTGGTCCCGGATACCAGGAGCCATTTGCCAAGGCTGTCAAGGACAAAGTCGGCGACAAGATGGCTGTTGGAACCGTTGGTAGCATCACCGACGGAAAGCAGGCAAACGGTTACCTCGAGAACGACAACCTCGACGTTGCATTCATTGGCCGCATGTTCCAAAAGAACCCTGGCTTCGTGTGGCAGTGCGCAGACGATCTTGGTGTTGAAGTACGCTGGGCAAACCAGATCCGATGGGGCTTTGGCGGACGTGGCAAGAAGTAAGTTTCTTGCTACTTGTGTACAACATTTAGAGTCGTCATGAGCGACATAGAACGTCTTTTTTATTTTTTTAATACAGTAGAGTCTGGATTTAGATACGGATATACTACTAGAAGTATAATGAATCTAATGCACATTTTTTTCCAGGGACCAAGTCATCGATAAGAAGGCATTTGCCAACGAAGGTGCATTTGAAATGAACAAGAAGGACTAACGAGTCCAACTCCAGTACCAAAGCAGTGGTATCCGACTAAAATTTTAACAATTTGCTCGCTCACGTGAAGAAAAGACAGACTTTCAGTGTCCACATGACGTTTTCTTTTTCCCAAATACCTCTTTCCAAAGCAAAAACGACTGGAAGCTCTGACTGGGATATCTAACTTGCCCCACGTCATTTACCTCGTTCATCCGCGCCAGCTCTTCGACTGTGAAAACAACTTCGCTTCCCTTGACCGTCACCCTCTCTTGCTCTGTGTACGGATAGATTTCTGCCTGTGTGCCCGGGATACGGCGATCGGCCGTGTTCGTCAGGATACCGATGAGTGTCTTGACGCCCAGCACGCTCTGGATGTTGTCACCGAGTCGCGGCAAGACGCCGTTGAGGAGCGAGGTGATGGAGCGCGACGTCTTTTGCACCGAGCTAATCACGACGCCGCCGGGCGCGTAGGCGAGCACGTCGCCGTAGATGTCTCCGCTGCCAGTCCTCAGGTGCTGATCTTCCGTCGATGAAGCTGATAGCGCGGCTTCACCCAGCCGCTCTCCGAGATGCTGTATCCATTCTTGCGCGCCGGGCATGATGGGTGTTTCGGAGTGCTCATCCACAGTATGCACGCTTTCTACCATCCACCGCAGTACCGCATCGCTGAGCACCTGATTCGGATAGATTGTGCGCGACAGCAAATTGGGAAGCCAGCCCAACGCCTCCTCAATCCAATTCGTGGGGCTCTGCCTCACAAACCGGAACGTCATACGCCCGACATCGTAGTGAGTGCCCGGAAACCATTTCTGCGTTATGCTAGCCCTGGATTTTTCGTCGTCGTCGTCTGCTGTCTCCTCGCTAGCAGATACAAGACACGGCTGGAAGATCCACAGCCTATCGTGCAAGCATGGCGCATGGTAGCAATGCTGCACCACGCTCGAAATGCTCATGTCGAAAAATTCAAACGGACTCCAATCAAAGCCTACGCCCGCGCTCAATCGCGGTATCCCCAGCGCACCCACCGTATCTATAATGCCCATGAAGCGAATCGGGCGTTTAACCTGCCACACTCTATCCTCGAGGCCCTTCCAGCGCGTGCACTCTTCGCTCTTGGGCGCATCAACAGGTAAGCTAGAGCGGTATGTGCGAAAGATTTCGTAACACAGGCGCGATACTTCGTCCTCGGTGTAGTCGGCGCGCCGCTTAATGATGCCGCAATTGTTAATCATGCCCGCGACGCAGCGCACGGTAAAGGCGCCGCGACTAAACCCGAACAACCAAATCTCATGCTCGTCGGTGTAGTTTTCGACTATGAATTTGTACACGGAGATGCATTCTTCGCTGATGGACGAGGCAGTCGCGCCGTCCCAGATGTACTGCATGAAGTTTTTGTTGAGGCCCACGCCTTCTTGGTAGCCGGCGACGATGGCATCTGGGGCGGAGGCAGGGGAAGTCTCAGAGAGGTTCTTGTTTTTGTGTGGCTGGATGGGGTGGACGGTTGCGCCGGCTTTGTCGTCGGTTTTGTACTTGACGGTGCCGACCATGTTGGCCAGCTGCCGGATGTTGCTTGGTGGTGCGTCGTCGACGGTTGTCTCGCGGCCCACCCATGTGCCGTCGCAGAAGACGGCAAGGCGTTTGGGCGGTCGGTGGGAGGGTGCTGAGGCCATGGCTGTTGTGTGTGAAGCCGATAATACAATATTTTACGTTGGTAAACTCTTTTTTCCTTGGATGGCGGTACGATAGCCTCCTAGATACCTTCTCTTTCTCACGGCGACCACGATGAAGATAGAAAAGAAGGAAAAGAAGGCAAGAAAATAAGCACCACGTCAACCTTTTGTCTCTTCCCTCAGCCTTGATCCCTCGATCCCTCTCCCGTCCTTTCAGCTGACAGGCAGACACCCACACGCCTACGAGGGGGCTGAACTATATCAGCAAAGTCTCAGCCTCGCCTTGCCGTAATATCCTATAACAGGGGTGGTGGGCGGCTCACGAGCTAGGCGAACAAGGGGGCGTTGTTGAATCTCACCGCGTGCGCCTTCCTTCAGCACCAAAAAAAGTCTTTTGTTATGTATGTAATACTAAAAGCCTACCACGACGAGCTGAAGATTGTGATAAGTGTGCGAAGAAGAGCTGGAAGTTTTAGTAGTCGCCTGAAACAAGAGGGGCGGTGATGGTCCCGAGACACAGTGCGGTCCGCGCGATGACTTTTGCATCATCGTTGTTTCTTATCATTCATGGAATGAAGATGGACCTTGTTTTTTTGCGGGTAGTATAGACACGTACAGCGCAGAGGCGGATAGAGGATAGATACGTGTATACTGGTTGACGTCATGTCTTGCATGTCAGAAAGAGGGCTAGCGGGTACCTGACAGCTGTGGTGCACCACTAGGATGGGTGGCACTAACGCCGTAATACAATCATGTGCGTAGGTTTGTTCTCGTGTTGCCAGAACTTTGAGACATTGGAGTGTAGTTCTGTTTGTGAGGGAGCCGAAGTTCCCCGTCGACAGGTGATGGAGTCTCGTGCCCTTCTGCCAACTGCGCGATCGACGTATTCGGTGACTGCAGCTAAACTCGGCCATATGACAATTGTAAAAAGATGAAAAAGGGTATCATTATTTCATAACCTAGCGTAACACGTGCAAATGCTCTCTACATTAGCCCAACACCTCCTCAAGCGCTTCCCACGTCCCCCTCTGCGCCTCCGTCTTCCTCACCTGTTCTTTCCCCACACCGGTACTCCCTTCTGCCCCCGCATCCCTCGCCCAATCCTTCTCTTCCCCATCCACAGCCCCAAACCCTGCAAGTACCTGCCGTACCTTCTCCCCCATTTTCCGTACCCCCTCAACCTCCGCTCTCTTGCGCCGCACCTGCTCCTCCATCCGCTCAATCAGCGTTTGCCGCGCTTGATGCGGCCGGTACTCATTAATCAGCGCGTGCATATTGGCCACCATGGTCATGATATCCTTCAACTTCTCATCTTTCTTCTCAGACACCGGGTCTGAAGCTACAATGCCCAGGAGCGATATGTAACTCAAAAGTATACTGCGCAGAAACCTGAAAAGATAGTTTTGTCTGTCCAATGACACCGAGTTTGATGTTGTTATCGCTGACGAGGTAGGTGGTTGCTGAGACGAGGTTGTGGACGAAGGGTCGCTGGGGTAGAGTTGCTCGTACTGCCAGTCTTGGAATACGCCTTGCATTTTTAGCTGGTCGGCTATATATTCCATATTCTTCATGAAGACGTCGGTGCCTTTTGCTTTGGCTACTGTATCGAAGACGTGAAATTCGGCGTCGTCGGCGGGGGGCTCGGGCGGGATCAGGTAGCGGAGTTCGGTGGGCAGCGCGAGGATTTGCTCTGGGGAGAGCTTTGTTCCTGGTGCGGCATTGGAGGAGGGATCATCGTCATTGCTGCCGTGGAGCCCGGCTTCTTTTTCGATTTCTTGGAGGCGGGCGAGGTTTTCTGGTGTGAAATGCTTGTAGAAGGGTGGGGGGTCTGGGAAGAAGCTGAGGACAATGTCTTCGTCCTCGACTTGACCGGGTTGTTGAGGGTCTGCCATATCCACGAGAGGGCTGTGAACGAGATCGCTGCTGCGAGTCGTGCGGGGAAAATATGGTACACGGCTGGAATTGAGGTTTGGATTTCTAGTCCATCATCAACGCGTGCTGGTCGGACCCTTGCATGCAAGCTTGGGTAGCTCAAGCTCGGACCCCTGCTATTACCCACTTTCCCTTTCACCACACGTGCTTCGCCGGTAATAGCCGCAATGACATCGGCACGGAAAAGATCCTACCGGGCACAATTAATAATTCACTGTCTGTGATCGTGAGGTAATGACGAGCTTTTCTGAGTATGCCCCGCTTATCTCCGAGGCAATCTGTAGTACGCACCCAAGATGACGCTATAAGTGGTATTACCAACCCGCTACTGAATACCTTCCTTACTAAAAACCTCTATAAAATCACACAAGACCCTGATCAATACTGAAAATATTCATCCCGTATCAAGTTTCATTCTAATAAATCAAAAATGTCTACCCAGAAAGCAGTAGTCCACGTCTCAAAGGACGTATCTGAGTTGAGAGACGACGTACCTCTTCCTAAAATTCCAGCCGATAACTGGCTTCTTGTCAAGACCAAAGCTGTTGCGCTGAATCCGACTGATTGGAAAAGCATCCATCATTCGCCTTCGCCGGGCGCCATCGCGGGATGCGACTATGCCGGAGTTGTTGAAGAGGTGGGAAAAGCAGTGACCAACTACAAGGTTGGTGATCGTATTTGTGGATTTGTTCGTGGAGGTAAGCAAGAGTATCTTGATGTCTGAAGAAAGGTATCACTAACATGCCCCAGGCGACCCAGCGGACCACTCCAACGGTGCTTTTGCCGAACACATCAAGGTCAAAGAGGGCATCAACCTCAAGATCCCTGACAGCATGTCCTTTGAGGATGCAGCAACCTTGGGCATTGGCATCACTACTGTAGGCCAAGGATTGTACCAGGAACTCGGCCTACCAATCCCCCCAGCCAAGGCGGAAGAACCTACACCTATCCTGATCTATGGTGCTTCCACAGCAACCGGCACGATTGCTGTCCAGTACGCGAAGCTCTCGGGCTACGAGGTCATTGCCACATCCTCCCCCCGTAACTTTGATCTCCTCCGTAAGCTCGGCGCCGACCACGTCTTCGACTACAACGAGCCCAACGTCGGAGCCAAGATCCGCGAAGTAACCAGCGACAAGCTCAAGTTGGTCTTCGATTGCATTGCCGAAGGCAACTCGTTCGACATCACGGCCGCGGCTATCAGTTCCACCGGTGGCCATATGTCTGGGCTCCTACCTCCCGGCAACTACCCAAGGGATGACGTGAAAGCAGTTTGGACACTCGGCTACACGGCGCTTGGTGAGAGGTTCAACGAGAGACTTGACGCCAAGCCACAAGACTACGAGTTTGGTGTCAAGTTCTGGAAACGAGCGCAGGAGTTGATCGAGAGCGGCAAGATCAAGCCACACCCGGCTGAGGTGCGGGATGGCTTGGCTGGTGTCCCTCAGGGCTTGCTGGATTTGAAGGATGGAAAGGTTTCGGGTGTGAAGCTCGTGTACAGGGTTGAGTGAAATGTGTAGGATGTACTTGTAGGGTTCTCAAACGATTTCTTGATATAATACTGTATTATATAAACAATGTCTCATGGCTTATGTTCGGTCTATTGGTGATTGAATGGGTTTGCATGTCATTTGCACACTGAAAAGATGACATGGTGGATGCTATGAACTATCAGCGGCACAGTATTCGCAGTGCGGCTTCGGATATACACACACACAATTTATTTACGCCCGGCGGCCGAGCCGAAAGGGCTACTAACGCTAGTCTAGCTTTACACTTCCTATGCTACGTCTTGGTCTCC